ACCCACTTTCTGTTTTGGCCATTTTCTCTCATAAAACATGGATTGCCAAAGTTAAAGCAGCAGTAAGCGATTTTTGGGTGTTAATATACGTCTTAAATATTGATATATTCCAATAGCCATCACTTATATAGAGTGTTTGTACCTAAACACGGATCTCTCAGTCCTTCCAGTCTTCTCCCACCTATATAATAAAAAAACCTCACATCCTATGCGCTTATCCAATGACGAGAGAGCACGCCTTATAAGGGGTTTCTCCCGTGTGTGCACGCGCACTCTTCAAAACAAACATGGCGGAGAAGGAAAAGCCGCCTCCAGCGCTGCTGCAGACTAAATACCATGGATCTATTAAATACAGACAAAACGCCAGAAACAGAGGAACGACAAAAAGTAGGAGCAACATGGTGACCAGCTGCATTCATGTTGGCGACCTCTAGCTCCGTGGATTCCTCTCTCCGACTGAACAGGTGAGCATGTTACTCAGTAGTGGCAGTAGTAGTTGTATTATTTATACATATTGTTGCCTGAGACTGTAATGCGGGCTTTCACCAAGTTAGCTAGTTAAAAATCCCCAGCTGTTGTAGAAATACGGCCGCATTTTGTGGCAATAACTGCGCATTACCTTGGCTTAGCTTTGAGAAACAACAGACAACACAACATCGAAGCCTTAGCCCAGCCTCAGCCATCCATAAACTCCGGTCAATTATTAGTTCCCCACATGTACAAAATTAAATGACCATATCACCAGAGTTCCCCCGTGAAGTGGTGTTAGCATTAGCGTTCGCTGTTAGCATTAGCGTTCGCTGTTAGCATTAGCGTTAGCTGTTAGCCATTAGCGTTCGCTGTTAGCATTAGCGTTAGCTGTTAGCATTAGCGTTAGCTGTTAGCATTAGCGTTAGCTGTTAGCATTAGCTGTCTGTAGTTGTGAATATGATGTGGCTGCTACGAACACTTCTGATCTGTATGAATCGTTTGTTTTTGCCAATAAACATAGTTGCTTGCACTATATATATATATATGTAGGTCTGCATTTCATTCTTCAATGACTAAGTTTTGCAACTTGCACTCTGTATATTAGTTTTATTGTTATAAAAACAATATCTCTTTACCTCAAATCTAACTTCCGTGACCACTACATACATTTTTATTATTATGTATTGAGAATAAGTAAGAAAAGTCTTGCTGACTACTACCAAATAAATTATGAGCATGATATAATATAGACATTGTAATAATTTACATGTCTTCATTGCATTCTTTTCTCTGTATCTTTTCCAGTATGGCCTAAATCAATTGGAATGAGGTCTTCAATGTACAAGAGTTCAACAGCCTCCATAATGCAAGTTAAATAACTATTAAAAAAAAAACAATGCCATAACGACTAGATACTTTTCTGCTGACCTCTTCTTTCTCTAGTATTGACTGGGAAGACAAGACTTTGCTTCCAGAATTAGAAGAATGGCCATTGTCATCTCCTGAGGAAGACTTTACACCCCACATTTGTCATGTAGGTTGTTGTGAATGCATATATGGGACGCAGTGATTATGATAATGATGTTGTGATGTGTGTGTCGTTCATCCCTACAGTTGTGTTGCTGCCCTGAGGTCCAAAATGAATATCGATAATGTTCCAGGAGTCAGTGTTGACAAAACTGTCGCTGAGTTTCTTCAACAATCAAGAGAAGTGAGATAATCACTCGACTCCCAAAACAGCCGATGTAAGTGTCTTTCTCTCACAATGCACAGTCTCTCACAGTCCAAATAAACATGTTCAAGGATCCTGTGGATCAGGGGCCACTCCTGGTGACCAATAAATACTGATGTTGTTGATGATGAATATATCAGTCATATTTGAGTAGATAAAACTGATGTCTCTTCTATTATGTTTCAAAGGAAAATCTCTGCCAGAGGAAGACTCCAGTTCCTTCAACCTGGGCCCCTGAAGCGTGGCTGTGTGTGCGTGTGGCTGTGTGTGCGTGTGGCTGTGTGTGCGTGTGACTGTGTGTGCTTGTGGCTGTGTGTGACTGTGTGTGCGTGTGGCTGTGTGTGCTTGTGGCTGTGTGTGACTGTGTGTGCGTGTGGCTGTGTGTGCGTGTGGCTGTGTGTGCTTGTGTGCTTGTGACTGTGTGTGCTTGTGGCTGTGTGTGCTTGTGGCAGTGTGTGCTTGTGGCTGTGTGTGCTTGTGGCTGTGTGTGCTTGTGTGTGCTTGTGGCTGTGTGTGCGTGGCTGTGTGTGCTTGTGGCTGTGTGTGCTTGTGTGTGCTTGTGGCTGTGTGTGCGTGGCTGCTTATGAATTATTTTGAGGAAATGTGTTCAAACAAGCTACAACATAAAGATTAACATTTTGTTAGATATCTCTGATAGTGTTCACTGCAGCAGCGATGGATAAGGACCTGGATAATAACAGTGTTATTCATTTGAGCAAAAAGTGATAACACAAACGTTGCCTTACCATCACTTGTAATTATTTGTCTTAGTAGGGACATTGTGTATATTTTTCCGGCTATAACTTCAAATCTTCTTTTACATAATAAAGTTTCTTAGACTCGTTACAGACTGTATTTGTTTTCCTACTATAAAACAAAGCACATTGAAAGAGGTGAATGTATTTTTTTTTATTTTGAAATAGTACAACTACAAACATATTTCAGAACTGCAGAGTGGACGTGCACCATGGGGGCCGCTGAGGACGTGCACCATGGGGGCCGCTGAGGAAAGCACGTTTTCAATGTCTGTTGGCACCTTTCACAGACGCACCAGGGAAAGGTCTGGGAGGATCTGGTCATCAGCTTCTCTGGACAGAGGGCGTTCAGTGCTTCCTGAAAGAACCGTTATGACAAATGACTTTATATATTCTGTTACTTGTAGCTTTTCTTTCAAAGTGGTTTCCTTACAGTGTAATAGTGTAACGTAATTAGTTATGACAGTACTTTTGCGTTTCGGACAAGCTTTACTGGAATTGTTTTTCAGTCCCACATCTCACTGTACAGCTCTGATACACTTTGATTTTGTCTTCATTCTCTGAACAATAAGCACATAATACAGATGTTGATTACATCAATAAATGTATCTTTATTTTGTGACATTGAGAAGGCAGCTTCCAGTGAGATGCAGCTTTACTTTCACATAATACATTACTACAGTGTTGTCTATAAAGAACTCCAAATATACAAATTGTGAGGAAAGCAGTAATGTATTACTTTAAATAACCTTCATGTAAAGCTTTGTTGTTGTAATGTATATGCATTACATTCATCTAATACATATGCACTGTAACAGATGTTACAGTGCATAATGTTGAGACAAGTCACACTGCAATCTGCAACATTATGTTTATCACAACAGTTATCAGTGTGCCAACTATAAAAGCAGTATTATTCTATAAAAGACTGGATTGTTTTTATCTCTTTCTTAGTGATGCTATCCTAGCTAACACCAAGCTGCTTCCAGTGTTATAGCTAGGTTACAACTGAGCTATTCTATGCTAATATTTCACTCCCAGAGTTTGTTGTTAATATACTTACGAGTAGACCCGACGGAGATGAATCTGCTGCTGCCATCACCAAGACGATGCGCGTTCATGTGGTGTGACGAGGGGACGGGGGCGGGGCTACTAACTCGCTCAGGCAGAAGAAACTGCCGGAAACGACCAAATCGCTTACTGCTGCTTTAAGGCTCCCAAGTAGAGTTTCATCAGTACACTATTTTGAGAGTTGTTTTTTAATTTATCTTTCTTGAATATTGATTGATAAAAGAGATTTTCCTCCATGACTTTACAGTAAAGGAGGTATTTACTATTATTACACAGCTCCTCACAGCAGCAGTGAAACGCTCCATTGATTTGAATGTAATTTTAAAACATTCTACCGGTCATTATTTTCTATAACGGACCTCTCAAAACAATAATGACCGCTGCCCTTTGGCAACGCACTCTCTGCTTGTCTTTCAATCTTTCGTGGATAACTCCGCAAGTAGTTCCGGCCACTCCGGAGCTAGCCACGCTCAATAAACGCAAATACCAATCAACACACTTAAATGTTAATCGGAAAGTACATTATACATATACATTCTTCACACACGTGCACAGAAGTTTTCAGAATTTTCCGTTTACGTTTTCATGACAAAAACACTGATGTAATGCGAGAAAAGCCGATCCCGAAAAACCGGGAAGTAGATACCGGCACATTTTAGGACACATTTGCAGAGGATCGAATTATGGATTTAGGTTAGGCTTATGTTTGGGTCACTCACCGCTGATGTTCAGAATTCTTTGTTAAGTTTTCATGCAGTTCCAGAGAGTTCTAGTTTGGAAGTTGCTAGCCTAACTGTTCCTAGCATAGCCACGGGAAAGCCTTTGGGAACTATTTTATTTTCTTTCTTTTTTTAAATAAACCTTTCGGCATTCCTAAAAGTGGACTGAAGTTTATGTTGTGTGTTCTATTGGTATATAAAGCCGTGTAATAAGCGGGATAACGTATAGTACGCAGGTCATTATCAGAAAATAAGTACCTTCAGGGCGGAAGCTTCGCCCTGTCGGTACTTTATTTTCCGATAATGACTTGCGTACCCTACGTTATCTCTTACTTATGTTGTTATGAAGTTTTGCATGAAAACATATCAAGCACTCGTACCAATATTTGATGTAATATTTCAACATGATTAATTATCACTTTTTAACATTTATGGGACATCGCTGTAAGGTATCATTGAATTGCTGAGTATGAATATGAATAGAACCACTCCATTAGTCAACTCAGTACAGGATGTACATCCCAGACTGTGGACAAAGGGAGTAGAGGGATTCAACAGTATACAAGGAAGCTCAATTAATATACAGTATATTATAACTTAGAGTAGTTGTAATTGGCACTATTGCACTGTGAGTAAATGGTTTTTTGCATAAACCAGCCCTTGATCAAACAGACCCTGTCCTGGGGCTGAGTGGTGATGGATAAAACGTCGTCCTGCTTCAGCTGAACTAGATCCTTCTATCGGCTCAAGAGAATGATGACTCTCAAATACAGCTGCTTGGCCTGTGAGTATCTACAACCACTTTATTGCACTTTTAACCTTTTGAAATGCTATATATTTTTAACTGCATTTTTAACTTGTGAGTGCACTGGAGAATGTTCCAAAATCTGCTTCTCACAATGGTATTAACTCCATGTGATGCCACCAGGCCAAGTTACTGGTCTTTGGAGTACTTACCAGTTGATCCTTGTAACAATGCCTATAGATTGAAGACCAAATCGAAGAAAACTTATGCCTACAGATCAGACACAATTCAGTTTGTGACAAAAAGGTAAATAAAAATTCAAATAAACAACAAAATGAAGCAATGCTGAGTTATCTTGCAATCCCTTATGTCTTGATATTAAGACAACTTACGCCTTATGAAATTCAGTTATCTGACCATTACATCATTCATTCAACAATGAATGCATGTGTCGGGGGAATAATGCATTGCATGTACATGCATTTCAACTCCCCATTTTTTTGAGTATGATTATTCAAATTGTTTATTTAATGCACAATGTCCCAGCCAAAGAAGATAATAAAATAAATACTTTCATAAACCAGAAAATTCCCTTTGGCTGTAATCTCACAATAGAATTAACCTTTTACATGTTAACAGATAATGTTGTTATTAACCTCACCTTACCACCCTCCAGAAAAAAAAAAAATCCTGAGGAATGGGGAAAATGACCAATGTCAGCCTTTACGCTATATAATAATAAAATCATCATGATGTTTTTTTGCTTACAGTGACGGTCCTGGTCTTGCTGAGCTCAGGTATTTAATGAAATGCATCACAGTGTACCGGGTACAACACAGTAATGTTGATTTTTATTGTATTTTTTATTCTACAGTTATTGCTCAAGACCATGGGCAGGATGAGGAATCAGAAGGACCTACTCTAACCGGACAGCAAATGTTTGAGATGAAGATGATGGAGAAGGTGCAGGAGATCCAGGCCCTTGAGAAGATGGAGGAAATGAAGCAGATGGAGCTGACGGGTCTGCAGGAGATAGAGGCAATGGAGGATATGGCGCTGATGGTGATTACTGAGAAAATGACGTGAGCATTTTTTAATTAAGAGTAAATATAGAAAATAGAAAAGAATCAAACCCTAATCCTTTGAGATGGAAGAAAAAGCAAAAAAAATGGGGAACACCAACAAGAGCTACTTTAAAAAAACAAAACTAGAGAAATCTCCGCTTAGCAACAGTACTGTATATAGGAGGATCCTGGAGTTACGTCGTTGTTTGTAGTTTTTCCGCGCTGGTCACGTGACCGGGTGGCAAAACAGCATCAAAAGCTACCTGGATGCTAGAGAGTTAGCTAGTTAGTTTTAGACATTTAGAGAGAGGTTTTACTAACTAAAACGGTCCATTCTTGTTGTGTGGTCCCTTGTACGCCAGAACAGTGAAAAACGGCTGCGGTAATGCGAGCCGTACTTTAAAAGAGGGTTGCTCTTTTATGCTGTTACCTACGGTAAACAAAGAAAGGGACGCCGGAGGGGATGAGGGGATAAAAATTAAGCTTTGCAACTGCTTTCACTGCACACTTGTTCACTGTGATGATGAATTTTAGGATAGGTTCTTTTTATTAATTTAATGAAAATGCATAGTTATAAAAGTTTCAAATCATTCAAACATTCCCATGATAAGAAAGGAGCAGATAGAAGAACATAATTCTTATATTTTTCTTCCCCCTCATTTAACATTGCATTTTGGTCGCTCATCCCCGCGGCTTCTTTTTCCACGTTTACCATAACAGCATAAAGAGGAAACCCACTTTTAATGTGCGGACCACTTTACCGCAATGGCAAAAATCCGGGCCACTTTACCGCGGTGAAAAACGCCACGGACCCTTCTTGAGGTATGGGTCCCAGGTTTTCTATGAGATAACAATAATTGTCTCCCTCGTCAATCCCATTTGGGCTTTGAAGTTGTTCTGTTCGGTCTCATACTGTATACTTATTCTTAGCTTATCTTTATAGCTCCTCTTGTGTTATAGTGCTTATATACAGGGCATTTCGCCCACTGAGTCTTTTAAAAGTACTCGTCGTATCCATGCTTCAGTATGTGCCGCTCTGTCTTCTTGCCACTCAGCAAGTGGCGCATGCGCACACGGATGTAAACAAAGATCCCTCTATACCTATATTAAATAACCCATTGTCCATTCATCAATAAATGAGTGGAAGTATGAGTGTACCGGTATACGATTATTCACTGTCTTCAGTTCATTTCCTCAATCCTTTGAAAAGCTACTGTAGCATACAACTGTTCCCAGTATTTTCTCTAGTTTTTTTGTGTGTAAAAGTAGCTCTTCAAAGAAATACATTTCGGATTACCATGTACAGTAGATATCATTTTACCATAATGCTGTGGACTCTACAGTACTTTGGTAAAATGGTTTGGTCAGATACACACTGTTTACTACAGTAATTTTCCTTACTTATACATACTGGGATTACTCACCAGACAGTCATATGGCCTCATCTTTCAACACACTACTGTTTAATCCAGTCCAGTAGAATGTTAGCTGTAAACATATGATCACAAGAACCTTTTTCACCATTTTCAGTCTGGATTTGGTCCAGGTTTAATCCTAGTGGGTGTTTTTGAGTGCTTTCTCCTCAGGTTGAATTTGAACATTATTCTATTCTTTCTGTTTCTACAGGGGCCCAGGATCCCCAAATGAAGAACTGCCAATGCCTAATTTGGCTGTTGTATAAATCCGAAAAAGGATAACTGACCAAAATTGTACCAAACAATGGAGATACAATAAATGGCATAATTCTATTTGAGTTGCGTCTTGCATTCAAACACAACCTTCAAAGGTTATTCAGACCTTACGCATGTATGTTATGTACAACACTGACCTGGAGAAGATCTAGATCCAGTATTTTTTTATATGATTTATAACACAGGTTTAGGAAAAAAAACAATTACACGGCTATACATAGTTTTAATATTTGAGCTATTCCATACTGGCAAAATATGCATGTTATGTTCTCAAATTTTATTGAGATACAACCGTTCCACAATTAGAACAGAATACAGAACATGTTAATTTTATTTACTTATAATCTTGCTACTTGTTTGCTGGCTCTTGGCACAGGCAATTTTAATACCACTTTAGGACTCCAGGATTATCCCATCAAGTCATTAGCAGCTTAGCCCAGAGCCCACAGTGTAGTAGTGTTGAGTGTCCAGCTATGGTCCAGTGATAAGCCTTCTGTCATGTTGGTGTTGTGTGAGGGCTGGACGTCCCGGGACACTGTGGTTAAATGGAGGTAGCAGTCCGTGACGCTGTGTCTCCTCTGTCTCCTGCTGATTATGCCGCTGGATCTAACCCTGTCACATTTTTTCACCATGCTGCCTCAGACCTAATTAACTTAAATGACATGTATAGTGCTTTGAAGGCTTGTAAACAAAAGGGTGGTGTGCCAACAAACAGCAGCCAAAAACACTATAAAAACAGTATTATTCATGTTCTTTAGATGAATGAACACAGAGTAGATAAGTTGGGTCAAAAAAGTAGAGTTTAAAAATACATTAATAAGAAAGATTTACTCAACTTTGCAGTGTTTTCATCATCCAGTTTTTCAAGCTTTGATAGTCCACAGGTGAAGCTCGGCATTGATAAGAATATCATTCAAAAGTTGATTTATTTCTGTAATTCATCTTAAAATGTGAACCGAATGTATGATAAAGACTCATTATATACTGTAAGTGTCATATGCCAAGCCATCGTTTTTTTATAATGCCATGAGCCAATTTTAACATTATAACAAATAGATGCTTAATATAGTATGGACCGTTTCCTGACTGTGGAGTATATTCTGCATTCGTTGACTAATTATTAGACTAAAATGAAAGATTCAAGGTTCAACAGTATTGTCCCCTAACACTAATCCACTCTCATAATGAGGACAATCAGCTCATCTGCACAATTTTAACCCAAGCGTATGCCATAATATTGCACTTGGACACAAATAAGCCATGTAAAGATTGTAGTTAAAACAGTATTTACACAATAAACAACAAGGTACATACAGTATCCAAAGTTCTTGTGCAGTTAGAAAAATAATAAAAAAAGCATTGCACATGACTGTTACATAAACTGCTAATTTGCTCCATGGATTTAAAGTTATTTAGGTATTTACTCTGACCTTCAAACCAAATCAAACACACTTTTCTTTATGAATAGCCATGGTAATTTTCTAGTTTTCAGAGATTTGCCACATCTCCTTTTTTTCAACTAATTGAACGATAATTGATTACAGCCGTAATAAAGATTCTACTGAATTAAAAAAACAAAGCATCAATACAAAAAGCACTTAAAAAAATATATATAATGGTGTGAAGTCAAATCAATATATTTTAATGAAAATCATAACAGCAGTAATCTCACTGCTGTTCACAGAAAATAATACATTTAACCAAAAGAAACAATTGTGCTGTCCATTATAACACATTCAATTGTTTATTTTTTTTATCCTATCCTATTGTAGAGAGTTCAAATCATGGTAATCCGGTTTATATTCACATCAATGCAGCTCACGTCAGGCCTTGCTTGGCTTTGCATAGTGAATCCGTGGTTATAGAGTTGTGCCAGCCGCTTGCATGCCAGGCCGGCCACAGTTTACAGTGCCAGCCGACCATGTCCTGTAATTCCACAAAGCACTTTAGTGACAGAAAAAGCAGCCACTTAAACCACATCGAGAAACTCTTAAGAGAACGACACACCTCCACAAACGAGACATATGCTTTGGAAAGGGCAAGTGCTATATGGTGGTACAGCTTGTTAAAATTTCAACAACTGTTTTTTTCTTTTTTTAAATTAACCCATACTTGGAAGCTGCCTCACTCCTCTCCCTTTAAACGAGTTGATTTTGTACACTGCGTGACTCTGAGCCTTCCCCTTTACGTAAGACTGGCCACGCAGGTTCGATGTGGAAGTTGTTTGAAGTCTGAGCTGTCACGTCGAGACCAGCATGTTTTTCATAGCGTGAACTGGCGGCATGATGATTATAAGTTTGTAGTAGGCGATAGAGACAGCAGCTGCATTGGCAAGTGTTGACAGCAGGGAACGCAAAGGTAAGGAGCCTTGTTGCTTCTGTGTTATTCAGATATAGTGTAAGCTTGAAAAGGCACGGTGCATTTATTTGCTTGCAGGGTAAACATTGAGTAAAGGAGAGTTTCTTCAAAGTTTACAGCAGTTTTGACTCGATGGATGGGGTTCTTGGAGAGCATGTGTTACAACCTGTCCACATAGTTTACATTTGAGGTATTAAAGCCCAGTGAAAGTAAAAAAAAAAAAAACAATTTCTATGAAACTCTGCATACTGATGTTGTGTTGGTTTATTGTTGAATTATTTATTTATGTGTATACAATAGATCTGTTATGGGAGCAATATTGTTCTAATCAGATTAAATATAAAAACACTGGTTAATCATGAAAAGTTTCTCTACTTTCATGTATTTGTTCTTCAAACCTTATTCCTCAAAGTCCTATCCATAGTAAGAATATGAGTATATCACAATATGATGTTTATTAACTGTTATTAACATCAGAACAACAGTCAAATAATGTTCTAAAGATGGAGAGTAGCTTGGTCCTGAACCTGGGAATCCATCTTTATAATATTTTTCCACTTTTTCCTTTTAAATAGATTAATAACATAAAAAAATCAAATCAAATCAATGAACGTTGTGATCTGAGAATTTTGAATGAACTCAAAAATGATTCATGAGATGTTGCAGTTGTTTTTCCTCTTCTCTATAGTCTATAGTGAATCAATAGACTTTGTATTCTAATCTGCCCAAGCCAATAAGAGCAGATATAAACTATAAAACAATACCCAAATATTTCAATTAACCAAGTAGTTTCTATGTTTTAAATTATATAAATACTTTTTATCTGTTACCGGAGGTCTTAAGGGCGGCACGGTGGCTGAGTGGATAGCACTCTCGCCTCTCAGCAAGAAGGTCCTGGGTTCAAATCCCGGTTGGACCAGGGCCTTTCTGAGTGGAGTTTGCATGTTCTCCCCGTGTCTGCGTAGGTTTCCTCCGGGTGCTCCGGTTTCCCCTACCACTAAAAATATGTACAATAGGTCTGGCATGTGCCTCCTGTACTGGCACCCCCACACCCAAAAAAATAACAATTGTAAACCGCTTTGAGACTCTGATGTCCAGGGAAAATCCAGTATATAAATAAAGATTACTTACTTACTTAAAAGAAACCCAAAAGTATGACGGTGAAAGAATTTTATTTTGTAAACTTGTAGTGACTGCGATGGTACGTCTTTCACCTCTCAGTAAAATAAACTCTCCTCCTTATCAATCATCACTTATAAATACAAACATCCCCACTGCTATTTACTTTGCTATTTCACAGTTGTAGTATTTTCCCTGCAGTAAAGTTGGTCTAACAGCTTCCTCTGGTTAAGCCCTCCAGATATGTACAATTGTATTCCTTGTCGCTTCTGTCTAAAATACCTCACTAAAATCCAGCACTTACTATTTCAATAGCTTTCTCCACTGTCAAGTATACTGTAGGTGGGTTATTTTTTTCCATTGCTCATAAATGTCAATAATTTGCTATTTGGTGTGCGAATTATGTCCAGTTTGCAATATACTGATTATATCCCAACATATATGCATACATCTCAGTTTATATGATGCTTCGGTGTGTGTTGGGCTTTCATAGGTCTGTTTGGAAGGTATGTTGTAATTGGCTGTCTGTCTGTGTGCGTGCATATGTGTGTGTATGTGTGTGTTCATAGTGGTGGTTGAAGCTTGAGTTGTAATTTTAAGAACACCACAGGGGAAACTGTTATTACGCATTATTCAGGACAAAGGCATGGGGAAGGGCATCTTGGTTAGTCATACAGGGGTTGTGCACTCAAGAGAAGACAACACACATACCTGCTGTCAGCTATTTGTCTGTAATTTTAGCGCTAATGTAACAGAAACTCCCGTGAGTCATTAGCAGATTTAAAATAATTTGCCGGAGATGAAATTTATAATGCAGGCTGTGACTTCAAAACAGGATTTCAGCCAAACACGTACACATCCCATTCCCCACAGACCGATAATGGCTTCAAATTCTGCATCTATATTGCGATCAAGATGTTGGTATTTCTCTCCACTTGAGGCATGGTCATGAGGGAAGGTAGTATGGATTGGTTGATGTTGGGGCCGATTACCATTCCAAAAATCAATACGATCCAAACAGTTTGTGGATTAACAATTTGTACTAAAAATACAATGTCTGGGATATAACATAATAATAATTTGTAATACTTTAAAATCATCTTTCGGATGCTTTGAGGAAATGGCAGCCCGGGCAGCACGGTGATATGATCTGATATCAACAGGCCAGGATCAATATTTCTTTGGATTAGAGTCAGAGAAGGGATGGGGTCAGGGGTTAGAGGTTGTGGTTAAGGCTATGGTTCACTATGGTTAGGGGTAGGTTTAGGGGTAAGAATAGGGTAAAAGGTTAGGGTTAACTTGTAACAGTGATCCTTGACTGTCAATTACTTGGTGATATCAGATTATGTAAAGAAATAAAACAAACACAAGTATATAAGGCAATATTGTAACAGTTTAAGAATTTTGATGAATGGCTTTTTGAGAAGGGTAATTAAGTGGGAATGAAATATGCAGGGACATGTAGGCTATAACTAACATTTGTTTTTATAATTGATTCATTTTGCATTTTTTC